ATGCGCCATTTAAAAAATATGAAATAGTTTACCTATAGGAATATTTAGTCCGTTATAATTATAATTTTATGTCCTTACATGCTACATACTAATTATTTTTACTCAAACTTATTAGGTTTTTTTTATTTAACGGAAGGTTACGATTATACTGGAACCTTGAGCAATAAATGTATTGATCGTGTTTGCAATGTGGGCCGTTCTAGATAAAGGAAAATGTAAACAGAAAATTTTATTTTATATTATTGCGTTAGATTCAAGTTTTTATTATTTGCCTTTATCATTTTCGTTATGCCTACACGAATGACGAATAGGAAGAAAAAAAGGAGTAGACGATATTAAAGAGATTTCAAATCGATTGGTTAAGTGACTGATAGTTGTAATTGTAATGACAAATTCGCGTGAAGTTAACTTACTCATAATTGATATAAATACGATATTAAAATTATATAATGCATTAACATCTACATTTAATTCCAGACAATAGGTTGGGAAAATTCTAACAGTATTGTTTAGTTAAAAAAATGTTTGTTGGCGTGAGTACGGCCAATTTAAGTTAATTTTTAGGTATTTTATGCTATTAATTTTAAATTCTCAAGTTCGTTTATGAATTATGTATGTAGATAAATGTAGGCTAGTTAAAAAATAAGAAAGATTTATCAATTAATCGACTTATTACAGCACATCTACCTATATTATTATTGTTATTATACTTCCTATCTTTTACTCTATGTTTACTACGCGAACTAAAACATTCAACTATCTAAGCTATTGTAATAATTCACTTTTAATAATTTTAAATGAGTAATGTTCTGTTAATGAATAAGCAATTATTATTCAAATAAATAACTGATTAGCCTTATCTCGAAAAGTAAAAACAGAAAATAAAAATGAGCATATTTTTAAAATGTAACAATAATCCACCAAGGCGTAATGCATCGATTTTTCAACTTTTAGTCACTAAATTTTGAGTCATTTCGTATAACGTGCTCAATTAACGAAAATTATCGAAACAGGAACAAAATTCCAGAGGTTATTTCTAATTTCTAACAACGTTTTGATTTTATTCTGAACCGACGAACGGCTCCTGGACTTGTAGTTTTGACATACTTTTGAATGTAATAGATGAAACATCCGTTCTATTTTCGTTATTTACGCAGATGCACATACAGTGTACAAAACACTAATCCGCATAAATCTCATTCTTATTTCGTCCTTGTTAACCAAGAATTTGTATGGTAAAAATTCGCATATATTTTGATGTGCATGGTAAGTATATGATTTTTTTTTGTTAAATTGTACGCTTAATTTTCCAATTATTCAATACTCGAACAATGAATTAATCGGTATTTGCCTGCAAACAAGCGATTCAGTCCATAAAGTTATTTCTCAAAGGAAAACTATTATTCGACGTTGAATGAAATTTAACACAAGAGTTGCTCTGAAAAAAACAGGTGACAAAGGGACTAAAAAAGGGAGCGCGGCGCTAACCAAGAGGTCGATGAACCATCTGAATCGTTTAAATTAAGACTTAATAAAGTCCACCACGTGGAGATAAATAGCGTAGCTTGTGCAGCACGATGTTTAATATCAATATCAATGCTATTCCTTCGACTGGCAAATAAAAACGTTTGTTAACAGCCAACTTTCAATGGGTCTCTTATGCTGCCATCAGGGAAAACACTCGTCGAAACGCCACTCCGGATACTAAATACAACCAACAGCTGATACCGTTGTGGTTAATCGTTACAGAAACGACAAAAAAATTGGCTTTAATAATTCAACGACCTCAAAGCACTTGTCAAAAGACGTTGCGTGCACGCCTAGAGCCGTCCGAATCGCGTTAGTGCGGCATCGAACGTGTTAAGAAAAACGTTGTTTTCATTCGCATTTTGTTTTTCTTGAAAACTAATACCACATGCGTACATTACAGACAGCCGTAAGACGATCCGCGATATTTTTATAACAATTAATATACGTAGATAAAATACACAAAGACGGAATTCATTATTTACATGGCTGATTTTTCGTCGTTCGTGTAGAAAATGAAAGTGCATAAATAAAACTAGAATTGTTAAAATTCATTTTGCAAAAAAATACCACACTTTCTATTTCAGCAGCAGTAGAATTGAAACCCCCAATCGAATTAATGTGCCTAGTGGACTCAGGAAACGCGAATATCCGGTATATACAATAGCGAAACGTAAAAATAATTACAAACGGCTCTAACGTATTTCAAAATGGTTATCATTTTGCGCGGAAACCGTTCCCACGAGGGTGCACCCGCAATATAAAAAATAATAATGCTAAGTAAGTGAATAAAAACTAATACTACTTAGCAACTTCGTGCGCCATATGATGTCACCACCATATTAGCTTGAGCGAGCTATAGCAATGCACGAATAAAAGTCGATTAAAATAAAACAGGTAATTGATTCAACGAAAGGATTAGTAGTTGAACAAGGTGTTAAATAAGCATCATTTAGGCTAATGCTATAATAATAATATTGAGAGTCCCTGAAATAAACGAAATTAAAACAGGCGTTTCACGCGCTGATTCACACCGGCCAATAAACTAATTGGAAAAAAATCCACCATACGCTTTTGTGCACGATAAAGGGCGTGGTATTGTCTTGAAAATAAATCGATCGGTATGGAGATGTTAGAAAAAACCTTATGAGGAAATGCGGGAGTTTACTGGCGATGGCTTTTTTCGCAAAATGAAAAATAGTAAAAAGTTCTCGGTTTGGGATATAAATCATTCTGATTCGCTGGTTTAATAGGTAGGCTTGCAATATTTTCACGGAAATAAGTCACAGGTGCAACAAACAAAACTATAAAATTCGCAGATAAAAAATATTTATACTAATGGTGTTTGAACAAAAGCAATGAAAATTTGATAGGTACACAAATTTTTAAATTTTCTTACATCAACGCAGGTAATAAATAGATAAGTTGTACTGTAGCAATACCGACAGACAACCACAAATATTTTGTGAATGTCTGATTAGCGAATTGTTTTTAAAATAATTCATGTACCTAATCACCAAGCAAATCAACATTTACACAAATAGATCGTTTTTTTACTCATACTCATGACCTTACTTAATAAATTACCCCGCGCACTCAACCCGCTCTAGTTCTCTACCAAAACCGCCGCCACATCTCGATACAATTTTAATTGAGTCACGTACGATTCGATTGCAACACTTCCACCGCGTTTTTTGGTCGCTTTTTTCGCTTCTAACCATTATTATTACCTTTACTACCGTTGAATATTAGCGGATAATGAATGCGCGAATGAATATTAATTGGAAACCGGCGTGTCCTCGCGGGCTCAATGGACAATCTTTCCGGCTATTCGCATTAATGGGACATTCATCTGCATAAAGGGTGGTCTCTAATTGCTTATGGTGGTTAGTACATTTAGCCTATAAGGGTTCATTATTGTGCAAAAACGCGTAGATTATAGAGGCTCATATGAATTTATGAGGAATGAGTATTAATTGGGAAAGTCTGTAAATAATTTTTGGGAGTATTACAAACGAAAATTCGATAAAACACGCTGAAACGTCGATAATGATATCATTTCATCCCATAAACACTTAACATTTTATATGTAACACTTAAATACGTGTTTGCCGATTTGACCAGGTGCGGCAGTTTTTATTCATTATCACCAGGGGCGTATCTAAAGTCAATATTTATGTTCTGTTAAGATTTAAACTATATCTGAAAGGTGTGTTTTTGGATTACATATGTACGTGTTTACCATTAATTTTCGCCCGTAATTGCAAAAGTAACAGTACAAAAAAAATCTCGATTATGATTCATGATCGAGATAAATGAATCGATATCTCGAATTTATGTAAAAACATCGAAATCGTGAAAATTTTAACAGGTATTAACATCGTTACCTTACACTTAAATGTGTTCACCCTTTCGATTCGCATGATTATCATTATACAGCGATGTCTTGCGTGTAAAAGCACACTGCTCTCGATTATAAATATAGAAATAGTTTCGCTTGTAATGGTCGTTTTCTCGGCGAGTGGTCTCGATTTTTCAAACATTCAGACACAAATGCGCTGATTTATTATATGGGGATTACATAAAACAAACTGAAACGAAATAAATATCCCGTGGATGAATAATTATCTCATAATTGGTACGTCCAGTACCATATAGAGTTGGCTAAGGATTAAATTGCTTTTTATCAGATCGTTTAAATAGGTAGAATTCTGATGGACTTTGAAATTTAATCACAAACATAAAAAACTAATATCAAGTAGAGTAAAAAATTTTATACTTTGTATTAACTTATTAACGTATGTATACAGGTTGATGCATTTTAGTTTGCAGTATAATGTATGGGTGCAACAAAGACAACTTCCATTTGACACTTATAAAGGAAAAAGAAAGGGTGATATTGTGGCATCTCACTCTAACAACTGTTATTTTAAAAATCTTTCTTTGTTTAACTCATAGAATTAACCATATTGCAAACTTTTATGTGTACGTGAATATCTTAAAACTTCACCTATATAGATAAATACACATTGTTTATTACTTGCTCGCATCCATATTTATTCACGAAATTAAATTTCAAAGGCCACTTATTCCGCGGTTCCGTTTCTAAATTTGCTCAAAGCATTCCAACGGAGGGATCTAATACAATTTAGCGAAACCCCAAAATATTTACCGAAGAAATTTATCATTTAACACCATTTGAAACATTTAAAGTTTTCAATGTCGAACATTTTAAATGTTTACTCTTCCTAATAGCCCACAAGATGCGTTAATTAGCTAAGCAAATTTGGTAAATAAAATAAATTGCAATAATCTCGTTGACTAAATGGAGAAATAATAAATCGTAGCCTGGAGGTTATGCAACTACCATTACGTACACCACATCATACAGTAGTGCCATAAATCTGATGTAAAAGTTCATTTCTACGTGCAAAATACCATAAGAAGTATCGAAATTAATAGAAAGTACTCACCTAAGCAGTATAGTCAAATGTATATCGTGACTGAATCTATCCAAAGCGCTGGTACCGTCCACTCTAACAGCGTTGACTTTGTCTCTAAGCGACGAAGAATTACCCACCGGCGGATGCCTTTCGCGTAAAATGTCGAATATATTCGGCTGTCTAAGGAAAGCTACTACTTTATCATTGTAAGCAACGGGCACTTCGGGAATATTGCAAGGCGGCAGTGTAGAAGGGGTCGATCGAGGAGGCGGCGTTGGAATCTGAAAATAACAATTTCATTGGAGATTCGTACTGCATATTTTAGAGAAAGCTAAATCAACTGTTAGTCGAAATTAATTTACACTACATTCTAATTTTAGGTACAAATAAATCAACAATACAATTACTGGTTGTTACAAAGACAGAATATTAGCGACATTTAACTTACTTGTCCTTCGTCCAATACTCTTCTCGGTATGGAAGATTCGAGAGGCAACCTGGGATCCATATACGTGGTTTTCTTGTTAGTATGATCAATGAAAAATTGCTATCCGTCCGGCAAGGCAAGCGCAAATAGGGGAGAGAAAAAAAAAGAAGAAGTTGTTAGTAAATACGAATTTACACGACATAATAAAAGTGTTAGATTCAAATGGCGTGCCTATTAAATAGTTTATGCGAGATAAATCGTTTACCTTCGAGGATCTGTCTTTCCTGGTGTCCCATCCGTTGGGCAGATCTTGACTGGCGTCAGCGAATAAATTGACTAGACTGACTAATTCTTTGTTGTGCTGATACTTATCGAACACGTTCGGATCTCGGCGAATTTTCACTATCATATGCCTCAATGTCGGATTTCTGTTGTACAAAGCTAAAGCCTCCTGAAAGAATTAAGAATTTAATCAGAAAAAAACATACTTATAAATATTATTAATTCCTAACTACTCCTTCACTCCAATCAATTTCTGTGGTTCTTTAACCTTACATTAACACGGTCATTTGTAACAGGTCAAGAAACTCCAGTGAAGGGGGTGTTGCAGATAATGTGACTCCCGACAGGGGGCGCTAGTGTTGTTTAATCGTAATCGTATCAAAGTGTAACACAGGCTCTAAGAAATGCAAAATTAACAAACTCACAATAATCGCAACACCCCCACTACCACAGACTACAGCGAAGTTCCCAGACCTGTACGTAAGATGGTAGTTATTACATTAACGCACCTGGTTCATGTGTAAAATGGTAAAAAAGTCCGGCCTGGTCACTAACCGACATCCAGGAGGTGCCGTTGAAAAATCCAAAACCTCCAATCTATTCGAACTGATCGTTCTCCTAATACTTTGGTATCTCCTGTCCAATTGCCTCCTGTGCTGTTCGGCGCCGGAGAGCGGTACCGCGCTCGTACTGCCTCCCGGTCTGGTCCAAGACGTGGTGCGCGTGGCGTGATCGATGTAGAAAACGCGCCCGTGACTGTCCATTCTAGCTTCCCAAGCTGCAAATAACAACACAATTAATCAAGAGAATCGATAACCGATGTTTGTGGTACTTACAAGGCGGCAATGGATCATCTTCGGTACCCTCAGCTTTCGTCAGAATTAAAGCCCTGTGACTCCTTTCTGGTATAGACGGTAATCTAGTCGTGCTGAGCCTTTGTAGAGGCAAAGGCATCCCGCCGCTGGCCTCGCCATTACTCTCCGCATTTAGTACCCTACGAACCAAAACTCGTGCTTAAATTGATAGAGTAAAGTAAAACATTTGCTTACCGTGCGTTGTCCCTTTCCGCTCCCAATATAGGCTTCAGCCTGACCATCAATGTTTCCACTTCGGGATCCTCTTCGGCGTTGACAACGGCTCCGGCTAGAGCTTCTCCGTTGACTCGAACGTCGGGCGGTTCCGACGATTTCAGATTCGGCGGTCTCAAATCGGCCGTCCTGAGCTTTCTGGAATGGTGCGTGGGAGTTGGAGGACAAACGGGCACGTCCGAAGCCACAGCGGATGAATTTACCACCTGAAAAACCGTCGGCGAAGCATCAACTATGAGTTTGTTCTAATATGTGTCATTATGTAAAATGTAAATGTGTATTACCCTTTGCAAAGCCTTGGATTGTGGTCTAATTATTAAATCCTTGGTATCGGTTTTGGATTTGTGCGTTGGTGTATGGCACGATTCCTCGAAGTTGCCCTCGAAGTCTTGCATGATCCTTGCCAACGGTCTGTGTGGTTTGTTGCATAGATCGCTGGGGATCTCTGCGCCGTCTACGATGTCAACGGAGCCTGAACCTGAGCCCGAGCTTTGAGTCGACACTGAACTCTGACTATCCATTTTTTCTATACCTAAAATAAATTAGAAATATAAGTAGTAGTGATTATGAGTAGATTTTTGATTTTTTACCTAGATGAGTATTTTGCGGACTAGATTCTACGTCTTTACTTTTGCTAAGGACCGTGCTTATGTAATTATCACAGCCAATGAGTTTCTTTCCGTTTTCTATCAAAGCGGCCTTTATTTTGCTGTTGGTGTTCGCTGTCGCATCGACATCGGAAGCTGATGAAGTTGACGCGGTTCCTGCACCACCAAAGTACACAATTAAAAATTAGTAACACTTGTAGAAATTTTACTTTTACCGAAAGATTTGTATTCCTCGTCGGTGTCGATAAGCTCGAAGTTGAAGGTGTCTTCCAACTTCTGAATTTTGCGGGGTTTGTTCTGCCTCAAAACCACCGGAGGGGCGAAAGGAATCCCTAAAGCGTGGCACCTTTCAAGCGGCTTGTGCAACGTCCTCGGTGGTAAAGGAGGAGCCGATGATTCGGTGGAAAAATCCATACCGCAAGCGTTTTCTACAACATAATAACATTATAATTGGATATTGTTATGCAAGAATGTGTGATGGCCATCGTAAATTCCGCGGTGGTAAATTGGGTGCAGAAATATATTTATTATTTAGCTTAGAAGGATATTATTTTCCGGAAACTCTGCTCCCAATTTACCTGCAAGATTAAAAGGACCTTTCAATCTCCGCGCCCAATTTATCTATAGGATTTAAATCTATAATCCCTTGTGCGCTCAATCTACATCCGTCATAAAACAAAATAGTCATAAAACTTTAATACAATAAAATAGAATAAAATTTAAAGATGTTACACCGAAAATTTCATTCATACTGTATTGTACAACACTATCCATTGATACTGACCTTCTGATTCCGGTGAGGGAGAAGAAGAAGCGTCCCAAATTTGATAGTACTCCCGACTGGGACTCCTCGGACTATTCGTCGATCTGACTTTCTTCTTGGTACCGCCGACCAAGGCGTTCATGTTCAGGCCGTTCGGAGATTTTTTCTTCGCTCCGGATATAATTTGATCGGAATTTTCTAAAGTTTCTAACGATTCGGAGGGTTTTAGGTGAACGTGGTCGCTTTCGTCCTGAAACCCGTCGTTCTCTATGCCGTTACATTTCGGTTTTTTGATCTTTATGAATTTTTTTATCTTATCTACGGGATGCTTAATTATTATGGGATCCGATTGAGCTAGATAATCCAACGTCGAGCCGTCGTAGTAGCGGAAACAAAGTAATTTTTCGCAATCTGAAAATGATTGAAGGTGTAATTAATTAGATATTTTCGCGGAATGTGGTATTGAAACTCACCATTGTGGGTTTGAGGTATGTCTAGTAGCCACATCGTACTTTGTTCTTGTCCACAGATCTGTTGCTTAGAAAGACACTCTTCTACATTCGTCGAATCTGAAAAAACGAGAATATTCTGAAATTAATACAAAAAATATTTAAAAAGCGCTTAGTTTATGATCTCAAAAGATTACAAGTTAAACATCAGTTTGATTATAATTTAATTAACATTACAATGTTTAGTAGAATCTCCAGTTGAATTTCTGAGAACTGTTTTTATAGAGTTTTTGCGTAGTTTTAAGCATTACGTAAATGTTTTAAGTACGACGAATTCAAATCGAAATTACCAAGCAAAAAATATCGCTAAAATGTAAATATTTCTGTAAGTTCTCAGCCAAAATAAAGTTAAACCCGTTTCGAAAACAAAATTAACCATTCACAAAATATTTGCTTACTTTGTATCAGGTAATTTAATTTATTCGTAAAGGAAGTATTAAAGGATTTCAATAAGTAGAGGCCTGTTAACCTACCCCAATTTGTTATTTAGTGCTTAATTATCGGTAATATACCATTTAAAGGTACTTAAATCTATTATAAATCCATTTAGGGACCGGAAATTCCATAATAAAACCGATTTAGCGGGAATTATTAATACAACAAAATTACAATTAATATGAAAGTAATATTACCAATCGACAAATGCTAGCCTACAATACACATTTTTAATATACACCTATAAATCCACCTCCTCGAATTCCGACACGCATACTTGTAATAAATCCAAGTAAAAAATATATACCAATAAAAACTGTTTAATTCACACCAACTCAACGAACTTTCACTACGTACCTATTAATTCATCGCCAATACCATTCGATGAACAACTATGAAAAACTGATAAAACTCCCAAACACTAGCAAAAACTTAATTAAAGTCAATTAACGAACAAAACAGTAACCCGCCCGGGTGTGATAACTTCGAGCAAGAGCACCCGAACGTTTTGCCACGCTCACGGGAGTCGCACCGCACCGGCTTGAATGAAACGAGTGAATGAAACCCGAAACTGGTAGAGCGAAGAGGAACCCGGTTAACTGTCGCGCCGTCTCTCTCGCTCGCCACGATTCGGAACCGGACGGACATCCGATCTACTCGAGCGCGCGGCGAATTTATGAATGAAACGTCTTTTTCCATGAATGAATCACCTTGAACGTAGTATTTCGTTTACGGACGGGGTGGGAGAGCCGGCCAGGTACCGGCGGGGATGCGTCCTGTAATTTTCGAATCCCGGGAATTACCGGGTGATTTTTCTTTTACTAACAAACAGGGTTTATACTGTTTATTGAATTTCCATTCGATTTGAGGTAAACAGAAATTAAAATGTTTGGTATTGGGGAGATTAAATTAGCGGTTTCTCCATTCGTATCAAACAATCGTGCGCCGCTGTTCCCGCATTATGCGAAAAACGGAGGAGAGAATAAATTTTTGTGGTATTGTTTAGAGTCTGGTAAATGGAATCGAAACATATCTACATTTCAAAATCGACTTTTTTTTTTCAATTCACATCCGCTCCATTTTATCATTCGCTCATGCCACTCATGAATATAAATGAAACGTAAGCTTCACTTGCTGGGGATTTTTCTAATAAAATTTATTGTAATTGCGCGCATTAATTTACTTCAACGTGTTGAATAAGGTAGAGGGAAAACCTAACGTAATTTGTGGATATATAATTACAGCGCGTATAAAGTTACAATAACTTTTCAGACACATAATATGTTTGCTTGAATTGAATGTCTAATGATACCGCAATAATTTTTTACTCCAACCGCCAAAGTAGGTAAACCTACAGGATAAAAAAAAGAACCGAAAATTTGTCATCGTTTTTTTTGTTTGTTCACAATAGAGTCGTAAATAGTATTTGACTCGAGCCTTTCGGCAATTAGGAACGGGTGTCTACCCCCTATCTCTATCGGCCAGAAACGACAAAAACAGACCCCTAGAGGCCAGATGGTTTACCTTTCGTGTACAGGAAAACGGAACTGGCATTGTAAAATTGTATTAGCCAAATCGGAAGTCTAATTTCCGGTAAAAATGCAGTGAAGTGCTCTGAGGGTTGGTATTTTTAGATGCATTTCCATTACGCTCGTTCGAAGGGGTGGTATATACTCGGATCGTTGAATATCCATTTCCAAACAATTAAAACGTTTTCAATAAAAACGGACTAGCTTTTAACGACAGCTATTTAATTGTTCGCAAGGTCCAACCTATAATTTCGTTAAATTAAAACGCGCAGTAAACTTCGAAATTACAGGCCGAGGCGATATAAATAACGGCGATGTCATTGGAACGTAATAAAAACCGAAACGACAATAATAGAGTTTCTTCAAATAAACAACGTGTAGACGTGTCGTCACGAATGGCAAAATCGCGGTCGCTTTAATGAATGAATTTAAACGAATTCATGAATGAACTAAACCGAACGAATGAAAAAGTGTTCGAGGCCACACGCACTACTTATGAGATAAGCGGGATTATAAAACACCATTTTAACACTTTGTAGGCCGGTACTTGAGACTCCAATTGACAAACATTTAAAAGATCGAGCCTCAAAAAATCCTCAGAGATTTGTAAAATCATTTGTAAAAACCATTACCAATCGAAGAATCAATCTAGAGTTTCATGGCAAATTAAAAACGACACATTGATTTCGAAATTAGTTTCAATTTAATAGACGGCAATTTTTTGCAACGATCATTTCCTTTCCGACCTGCAACTATCCGATCTAAGCAGAAAAGTGGCAAATGCAATTAATTAATCGTTTTCGCCATCGCAGCAACTTTAATAGCCGCAAAATCGAACGTAATGTTTCCGGTTCCTTTGCATTTGCAAGCGGAAACGATCACATCAATGATACTAAATGGAATCGTTTATTCAAGAAAAGATCCCGAAAGCAAATAGGTTATAAGGCACATGAATTACGAAATACAAATGAATGTGTCGGATTTTTTAAACAATCTTAATATTTATCAAGTATCAAATTAATCCTATAGCAGCGTGTAGAAGTGTAATTTTGTGACACTGATATTGCTTAATACAACATGTAATAAAGATATAAAAAATTACTCGAAAATATGTTGGTATAAATAAACTGAATTACTTGGAAAATTTGAATTTTATAATCCTTGCGGATTCGCGAGTTATAAATGATATTTCCTCTGTTTATTTATATAATTGCAAACGACTGCAAAGTGCTTCCGTTTTCGAAATTAAGTGAAATACTACAGTATGTTTCCGTTCTAAAACCGCACTAACCATTCGTTTAAGTTATTTACAGTTCGAAATACAACAAAAATAAATACCGAAATCGATTATACCGTTAGTGGAGGTTTGAAGGAAATGAGACTTACGCACTTGTCATCGTTGTGGAATCGTTTTCTACACAAAACGGTTGATGAATTGTACTGGGAGGAAAAGGAAATTTCGCTGTAATTTATTACGCGGTAAAATAATAGTAAATGAGTTTTTTTCTCCCATAATTAGTAATTGTTAACAGCATTACCTGTTTGTGGAATCGATGATTAAAGATCCGTTTTACTTGTTATTATTAGATTTATGAGATTCCTTAAATTTTTATACAGATAGATGCAAAATTAATTGCAATACAGGCTTTGGGTGCAACAAAGACAACTTCAAGTTAGTCTCATAATAAAGAAAAAAGAAAGATTGATACAGTGTGATTGCAACTTTCTAACTCCAACAACTGTTATTTTAATAATCTTTCATTATTCAACTCATATAGAAATGACCACATTGCAAACATTTTTGCATTTACCCATATAATGTAGTCATTTTTTACATACGTTCACGATAGTCAATCGATGACGTCACAGGATATAAAGTATTGGAACACTGCCCGATTGTAATTTTTTACATTTACAAATACTTTCAGCTTAAACGTTTATGCCCACACGTTTTGTCATTGTAAAATTTAATACACCGAATGCATGCACGATATAAACAATTCGAGTCGTAATCGGTATAAATAAGCCTTCTGAATTACGCCAACAATTTTGCCATAACTTAAAAATTGCGTAATTATTGAGTATTCAAAAGCGGTGCCGAATGCATCCGGTCGGCATTCGGTTTGGATGCTGATGCACATGTTCGTACTTCCGTCCTTAAATCATTTTCTATTAAAAAATTGATGCTCCTTTTCATAAGCCAATGCGAACGCACTTTTTGTAGAACATATTCTTAATCAAAAGTTATAATAACCCTTCGTTTTTATATAGCTCAATGATTATTAATTAGTCTCACACGTCCAACTTTTTACAAATAACCTATTAGCCATCAGTGGATTTTCTCGATAAAATAAAATACCAACAGTATTTGCCTTGATTATCAGAAGGAGTGCCATGTTCTAGTACTAAGCAAATAATCTAGGAAATACCTCTATGATTCACAGCCGGAACAGCTATTTTAAAAAATAAACACGTGACTATTAAACCGGAAGGATGTCAAACGTTTTAATTTAACGATTAGATTAGTTCACAATAATTATGTACCTATTTATTTGCTGGTAAGGTGACGAGGTCGAAGGAGAGTTCGAATTAACATCAGTAAACCCATTGAGAAAATATCGAGTGAAGTTGAAGACAATAAAAACTGACTCGCGCAATTATTTTAATAACACACGTTTTAAAAGCCGAATCGATCACGAGTTTGAGGCTGTCATTATTTTTTACCGAAAGTGTTTTGCAGAAACTCGAACGGGAAGTATTTATTCAAAATTATAGTAAATACCGCATAATTTACGAATAAACTGCGGTGTATAATTATCTGGTTATAGATTTAAACGCGAATTTACTTATTTAAGAATCCGGCAACACATAATAAATTTTATTTTACAATGTATCTGCTGAATAAAATAATAGAAACAGTTCTAAATAGACACAAATTTCCACCTACGCCTACAGGAGCGATGGGTCACATGAGACGCCCTTGAAATCAAAAGGTCAATTCGTTAATTTAATTAAAACCAGTTCGCTGACTGTTTTCGTTTACAATTCATAAAGCGCCGCAATTTAAAGTCCATCGTGTAAAACTACCGTGTAATC